GAGACCTGATGGCAGCCCTGGCGTGCGCGGGTCTGTCTCGAAGCCTTCAGACAGGAAGATTTTTAGCTGCCGTCAGGTTGACGTTTTTCAGCTTGTTTTTAACTAGACAATAATCTAGACAATTAATTAGTTAGTTTTCCACTGATGGTTTGCGATTCGGTGTATCTGCTTTTCCTGATGCTGGGTGGCTTTAGTTGAGTGCATTTCTAAAAAGGCGCGCTTGCTTTTTTTTTTTTTTTTTTTTTTTTGGCGTTGTTCCTGCTTTTGCAGAAAGCGGCTCTGTAAATAGTTGTGTAGCTGGGTCATCTTAAATCTAAAGGAGGACTCAGTAGTATTCGCTAGGAAACCAAACTGCATCCAGTTCTGTGTGGGAATAATGTTTCGTTAGGTAGTCCCGCTGAAATGACAACTCTTCGGCAATGTAAATGACCGCTGTTAGTCCTCGTGATCCTTATCCTGAAAACTTCATTGAGAGGAGTTCCTGGGAGTGTAGTGGCTGCTAGCGTGCTTGAGCTCTGTGTTCCTGTTCGTGCAAACAGTCCCCTGCAGACCAATCGATCGGAAGGCGTTAGATGCAAGTAAAAGCAATTACACCAGACCCGCTGACCGAGTTTGCAACTAACGTACGTTCAGAGTTTCGTAATCCCGCATAAAATGGGCGTCCCACGGACAGATTTAAAAACCCTTAGCAGCCCTGGATTAAATCCTTCACCACTTTTTTATTTAATTATTCAGTGCAGGTGTACTGAACGGCCTCTGAACCCACTGGGAGCTTTCGTTCGTTTAAATAATTTCTCCTTGTCGGTGGCATGGAGGTACAGAAATTGTTATTATGCCCAAGTTACACGCTCTTTCTCTGCCCGCAGGGAACCATGGAATAGTAAACGTGGATCACTTTGCTGCTTCCCTCGGGGAAGGGAGCACGAAATGGGGTGTTCCCTGTGCAAGTGTCACCTTTGGCACAGGCTGTTCTGCTGCCCAGCAGCTTCTGACAGGCGGTGAATGCCTCCTGCTAGCCGGTTTTGGTGGTGACCCTCCTGGCGGTTTTCTGTTCCCTGCCTAGTATTTGAAAGTGGCTTTGAAAGCCTCCCTAACTAAACCTTATCTGTGTAGGAGTTACACATTGAAAGTCTGTCTTTCCCTCTTTTGATATATTTCTGCAATAAGCCCCTTGGTGCTGGTGGAATTTTACAGGTCAAGGTTATTGGCTTGTGAAGTCAAAGTTACCCGTGGTGTTTGCAAGTCTGCACCTCCTCTTTGGGATGTCCCTATTGCAAGAGCTATTAGTAATTTCTCTAGCGGTATTGATGCATCTCTATTAGAAAAATGTTGCTCTTGAACATGAAAATGAAGGCAAGTCCTGTCCAGGTTACCCAGGGCAATTCCTGGCAAGAAAAGCCCATGATCCCAGTCTAATCTCAAATGCAGATGCAAATCAGTCACCTGGCAAGTTGCAGGTAGGTAGCTGTAAGGCCCCCAATGTCTTATCTATCACCTGGGCACGTATCACAACCTGACATGGATAGACAGCTGTGCAAAATTGATATGCCAGCTCAGATAGGGCAGGGCAGAGGGGTCCTCCGTATCTTCAGTAAGCAATGAATATGGTTTATTTGCCCTGTGTCCAGACTGCGTAGTGCCTATGGCTTTGGCCAGTGCTGGCTAGACTTTGGAACATAATCAGTGTAAGGTGCCTCCCACTGCTCCAGGTCTGGCTGACTATCTTCAATGTGACTGATGCTGGCTGAGGTGCTTGCAGGATGGTTCCGCACATTTGCCATGCTTCCACGATGGCTTTCTGTGTACAGTTTACTGTGCACTGGAATTCCCTTAAAGGGCTGGATTTCCAGCGAAGAGACAGTGAAGGAGCCCAGCAGGCTTGGGCAGAGCAGCAGATTGTGGGTTTAAGCTCTCATGAAAAGCTGCTTTATATTGATGAAGAGGCACAGCAGAGCTCTGCAAGTATATGGATTTCTTATCCCCAGCAGCTGTGTTTCAGGAGAGAGGAGGGTAGTGACTACACTTTTCACAGTATGCTTTGCCCATGAGCAACTGTGTTGGTTGAGTGCAGTCAGCTTTAATACATCTTCATGGGGCCTCATTGGAGGAAGATGTATACATCACCAGCATTTTGTAGGTTTGTCCATATATGTTTGGACATGAAAAGGGGTTAATTTTAAATAGCTTTATAACCTCCTTTGTATCCTCCTCTAGCCACTGGCTAGATAGTGACATCAACACTGTAGATTACCAAAAGGAAAAAACAGCCTTGAGTTTGAGTCTTTATTTGTTGCCCTTATAAATTGTGCTCAAGCCAGGGAGCATGCCCTGTGTCTGTCTTCTTATTCCTAGGTTGCACTGAGAAGGCAGCAAGCTCAGGAAGAGGAAATGGGAATCAGCCGCCCGGTGCCCTTGCCCAGCGCCCCCAAGGTGTTCATTAAGAAGAACAATGGTGGCAGCTCTTGTCTGTTGGAAAGCAGCAGCCCTATGCACTCGATGAGCACAGCCGTGACGGCAGCTAGCACAATGTCAGGTAAAGTGCTGGGAGAGTGATGCTTACTGGTGGGGCAAGGGCTGACCTTGCTTATGCTTGCCTGCTGTTGCACCTCTTCCCTTGTCTGCAGCAATAGGATTATGGAGAGTCATCCTCCAAGAATGTGTTGTACTGTTGGTATGGCTAGCAGAAGGGAAGAACCCAGGATCAGTCTTTCATATTTTAATTGGTTATTTTTTTATTTGAAAATCAAAATTAGTTTGGTATAGATTGGTGCTGTAATTGAATTCAGTGGGGTGTGTACTTGCAAGTAGAGATTTATGAGGAGCTTTTTGCCTTTCTCCCAAAATATGTGCTCCTGCCACAGTCCTGGCAACTGCGTGTTGGCTGGCTGTGTATCTTCTTCAAAACTGTAGTTTTCAGCACTGTATAGGAGCCAGGTATGTAGGTAATGTCACTGACCCCAGCAGCAGAGTGCTGCCCAGTTCATGTATTTTGGTGTGGTGTACTGTCTGTTCTGTGTGGCCAGGTGTGGTAAAAAACAAACAGTATTTGTTGTTTGTGAAATTGCTGACAGTAAAACCATGGCTAAGCACAACTGGGACTTAAAGGTGCTGAAGTGAAGACTCTAGGCAAAATGCTTTTTCCTATGGAGAGCTTATGCCTGACAGATGCAGCAATCCAATATGTATGAAAATGCAACTGATAAAATTTACTTTTGTTGTAGAGACAGAAAACAGAAAAAAGCAAACAAACATTGAGGAAAGGAAAAGGAAATTTCATTCAATTTTAGTTATCTGTGCTGATGCCAATAATACAGTTGAATATACTTCTGGTTAAAAAGATGCTTCTAAAATGGACAGTGCCTTGCATTAACTAATAAAAGGGCAGTGCATATGTGCGTCTGTCAAATGACATCACTCTGTTTTGCAGGCCGTTTAAAGCCTTGTCAAATGGATTTGTTGCATCCATTGCAGACAGGCAGTTTCAGACAAATGTGGAGGAATTTCTTTGGGAAGGTTTTAGAAAAACTGGTGGATAAAGTGATAAATAGCTTTTCATTAGCTTTTTTGTTTTCATTATTTCGGCTTGTTTTTTCATTATTGTCTTTGAATCGACGCAATTACTCCTTTCATATTTGGATTACTGCATACTTTGTCTATAGACATAGAAAAAGCTGGCTAAAGATTAAAGTAGTATATTTAGTAATGTGTAGAGGTTGTGTGTAACTCAGGAGAACAAGAAAACCCTTGCTTATACAGAAAGGCCAAAAAATGAAATTGTCTTACTGTCAACAAAATTTGCATAAGCTTTGATCTTAATGTTTTTTTAAATGTCGGTGAAGGTATTTAATTTATTAATCTCACTTTAATAATTTCTTATTAATTGAATTAAATTCTGGTCTTCTAATGAAAAACATTCATTAAACAAGCTTAAGCAATACACATGCTTGAATAGAGACTTGAAAAGATGAAAATGCATAACTTTAATTTGAATTGTTTGAAAATTTTTAGTCAAAGCAATTGTAAATGATTTGCAGTTATCTCTCTTACAGTGGATTTTTCTTTGTAAGCAATTCAAATACATAGTTTCTCAAGCATTTTACTAAATAACTGTGTGTGGGTGACAACATTTAAAGTACACAGCTGCGTCTCCAAAGAGGAGATGCAATTCCAGCCAAGAATCAAGGCAGGGTTAGCTTTGTTCACCAGAAATGAAATAATCTGGGAATGAATAGGAAATTAGGTTCATAATTTTTGTTTTAAGGCTCCTAGGTAGCAACAGAAATTCATGCTTGGCTCAAAAGTGACTGCACTGCTTAAAGTTCTGTCCCAAATAATTTCAGTAGGTTTGTCTGTTGAAAGCGGTATAAGTACTCGTGAGTATGGATTTAACACCACCAGTGACTGCGTGCTGGGTCTGAAGCGTTCAGCCAGACCTGTAGGGTGGCTTCGTCAGATGTCAGAGTACAGGCTTCACCCAGGAAAGTCTGATTTTTCAGTGAAGGATACTGCTTAAATGTTCTGATGCTTTCTTCTTTTAGCCTATAAAGATATTTTGTTAGGTTAGAAACTGCCAGGTGTGATGTGACATGAAGTTCCTGTTTCAAGTGTCAGGTTGTTGCAGGACCAGGTACTCAAAAGGATTCTTGCATTGCTGTTTTATGATTTTACTGGTACCCTCAGAGCAGGTGCCATAGTGTTTCAGATTGGTAGGCTGAGATGCTGATTCTGCAGGAATTTACAGTAATCATTAAGGCAGGCAGAGAGAGTGAAACCTTTTGTTGCAGAAGTCAGCAGCTCCCTGGAAGCCCCAGGGGAACCAGTGGCTCCTGGGAGTGCAGCGTGCCCTGTACGACATGCATTAGACTGGGCAAGAGATGGTTTTGACACTGGTAATTCTGTTCCTTCTGTAAGATTTTGGCTTCACAAGAGCAGTTTTTCTTTTGGACTCCCATCACGCAGACCGTTGTTTGCCAGCAGAGGAGTAATGTGTGAAGGAGTCACACAAATCAGACATAGTGCCAGAGAGAGAGTCTTTCTCACTGTATCCATTTTATTGGCAGATCAGAAATATTGCGACACCTGAAGAGACCAGAGGCAATTTTTCAGATCCCTTCGTGCTGTTCTTGAAAAGAGGAAAAATGAATTATCATGGTCATAGCATAGGGGTTTGTGTGTTTACCATCTCAAGCTTAGAAACCATGTTTACTTTGGATGGACCATATCTTCCTCACTCAAAAGCAAACTGGGATTTTGCAGGGTAGTTGGAAGGGAGTAGAGTGGTCACAGGGCATTAGCAGAATCCTTGCAAACTTACTTGGTAGTTTCTGAGTATTTTCTCTTAAAAAGTTGCAGGTTGCTGAGAGCAAAGTCCGTTTAATTGTACAGAGCAGCAAAAAGTTGTGATCCCAGGGCATCTAGAGTAGTTGTCCTTCCTTCTGTAGGGTAAGTACATCTTGTTAGGTTAACTAGTGTGCAAAAGTCAGGAAAAGACTATGGTGAGGCATTTAAAACATGCCTCTTGGACAAAACATGGGTTCTTCCCTGTTCGTGTCAGTTTGGTACCTCTGCCATTTTAGTATTTAGAAATCACCGTAGGGCAGGGCTGGGGGGGAAGTGTGATCATGAAACACCTTGCAGTGAAAGCTGCTCAACTAAAGGAAGGAGACAGTGCATTTTGCCTTTCCTCTGTTTTATTTGGTCCGAGTCACAGCCTAAGGGTCATGGGATGGGATGGCTGCAACATATATCACCTGATGACTGGAAGGTGCTGGAGAGCACCCCTCCTTTCTGCTGCTCTGTGCTCGCGTGCTCATGTTGGCCCAGTTTAGAAGCATGTAATATAGACAGGTTTACTGTACAAAGCTAATTGCCAGCTCCTGTTCCTGTGATCTGGTGTGGTTGATTTCCCATTGGCCTTGCAATGACCATTAATAATGGCATTGTTCAGGTGCCTTCATGGTATCAGTGGTTCACAAGTTAAACATACCAGTGTCAGCAATTGTGAGTAGTAAACTTGTGCTTGTTTTTTCCCTTTGCTATATTTATTATGCATGACAGAAACAAAATCTTTCTACATTTTTCTAAGTAGGTGCTATCTTCACTGTGAAACTCTTTGTGGAACAGGTGGGTTTTTATCTGCTTGTAATTACAGACTGTAGTGGGGTCAGCAGTAATGCTGTGCCTAGTGAATGATGGTACTGAGATCTCTTTGAACTTGCTGTGCCCTAGATGGCTCTGAAAACCCTACCTTGCCTTCTTTACTGTTCCTTTGCTTTTTTGATGTTATCTTTTGCATCGATCTTTTCTATGACACTGTATTGTGATTTCAAAAATTGATGCCGTGATGTTGTGCTGCATAGATAATGAGGTAAAAAAAGAAAATAATATTATACAAATTATTATAATTGGAAGATGTCATGGCCTGGTTTTAAAAAAAAAGATCAGTTTTCTTTTTGAAAGAAAGTCTTTTTATTCCCTTACAGTATAGTGTTATATGCTATCAGTTTTTTAGTTTTGTCAAAAAAGTCTCATTCTAGTTAACTGATGGACAACATGAGGAAGCTGCCATGGACATTTCACTGTCTGTCAGAATGGTTAAGCACTGGAACAGTTTGCCCAGGGAGGTTGTGGAGTGTCTGTCCTTGGGGAGCCTCAAAACTCAGCTGGATGGTGCCTGAGCAACATGATCCAACTGTGATCTTTGAGCAGAGTTTGGACCAGCTGGCCTCCATGGGTCCTTTCCAAATTAAACCGTTCTGTGAATCCCCAGAATCCCTTCTTTTTTTGCATTGACATTAAGTCAACATACTGAAATCTAAAATTCAGCCACCCTCAGTACTAATTGGCATTTGCAAGCCTGGGAGAGAAACCCTTAACACCCTCGATTACTAAATCTATGTTAGATTTCAACAGAAAATTAGCATCGTGGGCATTGACAGGTGGAGACGATTGCTAGTTCAGGTGGCAGCAGCCTTAGCAGGGCTGAGCAGTAAGGAGAAGGAGGCATTTGTTGCTTTGCAAGCCTGTGCCAGGGCTAACATGATGGCTGCATGTCCTCAGACGTCTTGATGAGTTTGCAGTGGTTACTGGTCCATCATGCTCCTCTTCCTTTTTGTTTTTGTCTCCTTGTTACTTCCTAACAACAGTTTTCTCCTGCCATGCCCATCACTACTGCTTCACCAGTTTTAGTTGCTGCCTTCTGGTCCTGCCAACTCTCCTTCCATACCAAGAGCCAAGCAGCCCCATCCATTGCTTCCTGGTGCTCTTCCCCAGCCTCTCCTACAGCCAACGAATCTCCGTTCAAACGAAGAGAGGATGGCTGAATGTGATGTGTCTTTACTGGGTTGTAACTGCTGGCAAAGAAAAAAGTTTTGCGTCCTTCACCTGTGAATAACTAATGCCTTTTCATCCATAATCATCTGTTTTTCTCCAGTTGATTGCAGTTAAGATGAGAGAAAAAGAATCGCGTTTGCCTGTGTCTCCTGTAAGAGTTTCTGAACTGTCTTAACTCTCTTGCATTGGTATTATTTCTGC